GGTTTCACCCAATGGCTTGGTGCATAGCCGGCCTTAAGCCTCACATAATCAGCAATTCCCTCTATAAGACCTCCTGGGGCTCTGCCTTTTCCATTCCATTGCCATATGTGCGTCATTTCGTGATATAGAACTCCGGTTATTTCTCGTTTAACGTTGCCCGAGTAACCTAGTATTGAGAACAATATCATAAATTCTGATCCAAGATATGATGATCGAGAAGTAAAAGTATGTTTGATATGAAATACTAGACATTAATAAACCGGACAAAAAGATTTTTAGTTATTTTTCTTCCTGAAAAACTCCTTAATTGTCTAGTCTAACGTGCAAAACGAATTAGAAATATTACAATCGAGGTTGTTTTTATTATTACCTCGAATGTATCGGGCGCTGACGTGAATTTCGTTATTGCTCGCATATGCGACTCCATCCATGTTGTCGATGAATAAGCTAACTTTCGGAACATTTTTCCTTTGCGATGGAGTGTTCTGTTGGAAAGTTCTCCAAATGAAACTGGTGGCCGAGTCTAGAGTTTGCTTGCTGTACTGAGCTCCAATTTGCCGGGTGAATCGGGCTCCACCGGGGGTGGTTGCAGCCCTATTGGTGACCGTGTATTGGACTGCATGGCTACCATGGATGGCTGCAGATAGTATTGCTGCATAAGTGAGGAACAACATTAATTTGGCCATGTTTTTGTTGGTTTTTCTGTGCTTGCAATTGTTTCCTAGTTGTGTTTGGCTTGGCTGTGCATCAATTATGTATTTATAGATGTTTGGAAAGTCAAAGGTTGACCAAATCAATGCTGACTAGAAAGAGAGATAATATTCATAAGTCAATTGCTTGAAAAGATGGCAATCGGCACATGGACAAAACTAGAATTTCCCAAACATAACGGATCTAGAGTGGTTTATGTGCATTATATATATCCATTTTTAATTCCCCCTAGAGACTAGAGTTGATTTAGTTGAACAGTTGGATTAATTTAGTCTAGCGTTTACCTCGTTCGTGTACCGTATAAATATGTGTACAGACGGTGATGAAATCACAATATTCTACTATTTCAAATATATATGATTGTGGGAACTTGACCATGTTAATTTCATGATGAACAGCCGGCCGGCTCGACGGCCAGAATATAAATATAAAAGTGTAATTTTTTTTGAATTGGTCGATCAATGCTGCGGCTTTAGATGATGGACTCTTGGCAATCGAGAAAATTGAAGGAAGTTCGAATTTGACAGACATGTCGATCAAGACTGTTTCGATCGAAAAATTGAAATTGAACTTCTGTTGGACTTCTTTATTGAGGTTTGCGGAATTATTGTCACAATAAAGGAGTCATTGATGGCATTAGTCTCGAAGAGATTGTTAAATTGTAGAGTTTAGTAATACATTACGCAAAGTTTGTACGTGGATCGGCCTTCATCATAGTTAATTATGAAGTGACAAAAAGATGACATAATATCATAACGAGACAAACTTCCATAACTTGTGTGTTTTTGTTTGTATTATTTTTCTTTTTGTAGTTTTTATTATTCTCAACAATATAGAATTAGGGTTTATAACTCTCAACACTACACACAAGGCCCAAACTCTGTCTCTTTAAAAGTTTTAGAAGTCAAGATTTTTTTTTGAAATTTAAATTCATTATTAGAGCTTAAGAAGTAAGATGAAATCACTATTTGATCTCTATACTATCCAATTGATAAAAAATAACTACTGACATATTCCTCTTAAGTACCTTAGTATCATAAGAGTCCCGGAGTACCATCCAACTTTTGAATAAATTGTAACTTTCACATGAGATGCTTTTAGCATAATTTTAGTCCTTTAGACAAGATGAAGCATCATGAACTGAAGTTCCAATGAACCAGTTGTTTATGAGAATGGTTCAATGAACTAGTTGTTATCGGAGTTTCCGTTGTCCTTGAAAGTATTGTAAGCCTCAATCGATTACAGACAAACC